CGAGACAACGATGGGACACCGAAATTTGGTATCACGTCCGATTATGCTTTCTCTCTCGATCGCGCGTCTTGCGTTAAGGATGGAACATCGAATTGCCCCCACTATTTTTTCTCCCCGCTCCGCGATCTCCTTCGCGAAAACACGGACGTACCCGTTTCGTGTGTATGTGTAACAGCCGCGCGCCGAGCGCAGGACACTATTTCTGTCGGTACGTATACATGGTGAAATCTAAGACACGTGGTTTTTTATTCTTATGACATTAATTTTTTAATGTTTTTTACTACACTTTTTACTTCTCCTTTTGAACTAAAAATAACTCTTGGCCTAAAGATTCAGCAAGCATTAATCATTCCTAGCAGAGAAAAGAAATTTAATTAGTCAATCACTACTTGATGAGTATTTCTACCAATGCAAAATAATTCTGATTGATATCTTTCTTGTTTTAAGAATTAGGAAAAGATTAAAAATAAGATAAGCCGAGATTAATATTAATTTATATTGGCAGGAATAGATATGAGAGTAATACACTGTATAATATACTCTCACTGTATAATATACTATAACACGTTTTCTTTTTACAGTTTCGTGAAATGTCATGTAAATAAAATGTAAATGAAATATATCCACGTGCATATTGTCTAAAATCATATTCCTCAAATACAAGAAAAAAAAATATGAGAAATTATGATAATTTTCCAAAGTAATTAGTTTGCCAAAGCATTAATAACTTGAATTGCACATCAATTTAAAAAAGTTTTTCAACACAACTGTTCTATGCTCTCTCTCTCTCTCTCTCTCTCTCTCTCTCTCTCTCTCTCTCTCTCTCTCTCTCTCTCTCTCTCTCTCTCTCTCTCTCTCTCTCTCTCTCTCTCTTCTCTCTCTCTTCTCTCTCTCTCCTCCCCCTTTTTCCCTCCCTCCTTTCACCTTTTCTTTCCCTCTTCTCTTCCCTCCGTTTCTCTCACATTCCTCCTCTCCTCTCTCCCTCCATTTTTCCTCTCTCTTATCTCCTTATAAGATTCACCTCTATTTGGAGGAAACAAATAACTCGCATGAGGTTAAGGCCATTGAAGTCAGTTATATTTATCGGCTTAAGAATCAGTTGAAGAAGTCAGTTGAATGCTACAAAGTTGAGCACAAAATTGCATAGAATAACTACATGAATCGTGCCCATGTACATATGTCTTTTTAAAATCAGAAATAAAAGGAAGACAGAGAAATAAAATGTCGATAACCGAAGAATCAGAAGGGAAATGTATATACTTTATTGAAACAATGAAGGAGAAATAAAGACAAGAAGCAAATGTGAAAAAATAAAAAAAGAACGAAGAAGAGTAAAGAAAAAGAGCAAAAAAAGCAGAAAGATAAAACGAAGCGGAACAAGTAAAGTTTGTACGAGAAATATGTACAAGAGATTCTGATAACAGCCCGTTGCGAATCTGAACATAATTTTTACTGAACAGTATTCAACAATGATATACATTAATGCGACACATGTTAGCGAAGCCACTTATGTCTGGCCAATGCCAAGCATCGCGGCTTTGCCAAATTGTACTAGCTCGTCTTTTTCGTTGAACTCTGGTGCAAAATTCTTTCTTTCTCCGTCTCTCTTTTTGTTTATTACCCCCCTCCTCTCTCTTTCTCTCTCTCTCTCTCTCTCTGATTAGTTGGCGGATATTATTTTGTCTTGCTTCTTTGTTTTCACAACCAACTGTTTCTTTCTTTTCACAACTATATCATCTCCACGTGTCTCAATATCAATATGCACTGCCGCGTGTTTTCAAACACTACTAAAAAATCACAAATCGGTTCTCTCAGCACGCCATAATGACACTCCATTCCTTATCTCTCTTATCTCACTCCTACTGATCGATATCAAAATCATAATGCTCGATGGATTATAAATAATCCATAAAAGAAATTTTTGTTCATTTGCAAACCGTATGCATGTTATGATTGTACTTTACATATCATCCGGACAAATAAAAAACGATTCCATAGACGATACTCATCATGGACATATTCGGATCGTCAACACATCGTGCTATGTTTCCAAAGTATCACTTTATATGTTTATAAACATGTTTATATGTTATTTGTTCAAGTATCAAATGCATGCTCGACTGTCTTTTGAACTTTTTTTTTACATTTATTTTTTATGAACAAACGATGGTATCTATAATGAAAAATTCGATTCAATACTATTCTTTTTATTATTTGTAACATCCATCTCATGCTGTATCTCACAATTGATGTTATAACCATGTTGATATTGTTTCATGTTACTACACGAAAAAGATAATGATCACACAATCGTTAGATAATTTCAGAAATATTAATCGAACGAAAAATTACTCATTATTATTCTCTTTGTCAATGCATAAAGTGCATTGTTCTATGCTGATGAGGACAAGAGCAAGCCTATCTTGACGCAGTATGTAACTATTATATTTCTTGCACGTATTTTCAAATAAATAATTGTGAATTTTAATAAGAAAAGACTATTATAGTATAATCACTTTTAGGATCGTAATATTGCTATCCCAATATAGCTTCAATTCCTATCGCACACTTGAAACTTCATCTCTATATATATTAGTCACGTCATTGGTCAAAAACGTTGTGTTAATAAGAAAAAGAAAAAAAGGAAGAATTAAAAATCGCGATAGAAGCATACGACACACATAGCGCGATAAAGAAATAAATAAGTAAATAAACCAGCCGGTTTAGTGACGAGATGTCGCGAAATAATCGTCTTTTCTCCGATTTGAGGATCTGAAACACGAAAGTATATACGGCTGTAAATATACATTTTGCAGTATGCATATGGAACGTATACAAGCTTTTCTCGAGCCCCCCTCTCTCTCTCTTTCTGTCTCTCTCGCTTGCTCATCGTCTCTATTTGCTTTTTCTATCTTCAAGATTTCTGCTCGATGTGTGATCATTTATTCTCACTATAAAAGATGTTAAGTAATTTGCTTTTTTTTTCGTTCAATGACTCACACATATATTGACATCATTTCTTATCCATTTTCATCAATATTTGATGCGCGCGCGCACATGATCATTGTGTCGCATTGACTGCGGATGATGCGGTGCGATGAGACTTATCTGGTTGTTTCGCATGGCAAATTATGCCTGCCGACCAAGACGGAAATGGATAATGGCATAGAAAGACAATATTTTTATCGCGAAAGATAAATGTTGTTCGCATGAAACTACCGTTACTAGAAACATAGCATTACGCCGTATGTCGTACATTTATTTTTATAGAAAACACTATCGCTGCATATAGAATGTGTAATTTGATGTACATAGAAGATATAGAATGTCAATATTATGAATACGAAAAAGTTATAAAAAGAAATTTTATGAATTTTTATGAATTGAAGACACAGCTTTACGTTTAATGAAGCTCCATCTTTGTATAAATGAAATTATTCATATTATTTATTTGAATTTTTCTTTGCTTTTTATGCTTTATACGAATATCTCAATCTATCAATATATCATTAACATATCTTTAATTTAACAAAATTTGGGATAAGAAGAGAATGCGCCAAGTTATGCATTCAAATTTGCATTACAACTTTGTGTAGCATGTATCATACGCCAAGCCTAATAATGAATAAATGACTCTAAAAGTGCAAATTGTCACGATTCAACAAATGACAATGTTAACGATATTATGTCAATGCCATGTTAGATTGAATGACCAATGATTCTCTGATATATGTACAGCGTTATATAATAGATGCATTACTCCTCTTCTCTTTTAAAGCTTACACTTGAACTTGACAATAAACTCAAGTAAATTACAAGTTATGATTAACTGAACTAAAAATGATAATTTGAATCATTCGTTTCTCATCTCTCTTTTATGAGAAATAGGCCACTGACCAAAGGTAAACGTGACAATGTATTATTACGACGGTGACTATTTGCCTTCGTGAACGAGAGGGTCAATGTACGAAATTGCCAAGTGACATAGATAGATAGAATAGATTTAATTTAATGATCTGGTCTCTCATATTTCTCTCAAACGTGTAATAGTAACCAAATAAGCAAGTCGAAAAAGAAGGAAATTATATATTAAAATTAATTAACCATAATTATGAACGTAGCTATAATCAAAGATTTATTTTTCTCGATATATAGTTAAACATAGAGTATAATGTAGTGGAAAATATAAAAATATAGTTATATTTAGATATACACCCGCGCATAAATATAATATGTAATAATTTGGCGATAATAGTGATAGAAATTTAGCGATCATTCATCAATGACCGTTTACCATAATACATTTACCCTACTTAGAGATCAATAGTAAAACTGCAACACGCTATAATTTCCAAGACGTTATAAATTGATAAATTGAATTTTGCCAATTAAAATTTTAAAGATACTTTCATTTGATTGTGACAGGAAGCGCAGACTGTACTAAAATACGCTGCCGAGAAGGTCAAACTTGTTTATCCGAAATCAAGTCTGGACGGCCACGTTGCGTGACCTGCACCTATCGTTGTCCCCGGAAGCGCGTCCGGAATAGAGCGCATCATGAGAAAGATCGAAATCGAGATTCATCGACGACCATGTTATGCGCGACAAATAACATCACCTATCCCAGCTGGTGTCACATTATCAAGGACGCCTGTGTTACTGGTTTCGTTCTTGAAACACGGCACGCAGGCCCCTGTAACGCTTATGACACGGCTCCTCTTTATATCGGTGAGTTAATATTCATTAAAATCTGCGTAATATGAAATAAAATGAGCATAATGAAACTACGACCATTTGACAAATTACCAAGATACTTGGATTTATAAGTGGTTAAGGAAAAAGATACGGAATAGAAATTTGCTCTTAATTTTTTCGATCATCACTTAGCAAAGTGGATCTGACGATAATCTGATGAAAGAATGAATAAATTGTTTACAACTTCGGTATTAGAAAATTGTTACAATGTTATGAATATATACAATAAAGTGCGACGTGAAATAAGATGTGATTTAGCAAATCGAGAAATCTTTAATGACTATCAAATATAAAGAGCAATAAAGAGCGATTGCATATATCAATTTAATCATTTATACCTTTTTTCTCTCTAACATGAGTGAGTCACTTGCGTTATAAACATCGTCTGTTTCAAATCCAGTGTGGGATTTATTCACATATTGCACAGATCGGTGTTAGTTTTGATATAAACCTAACACAATTAAACATATTTGATCGCAAAAACACAGAAAAATTTCTAATGGCTTAACTCTAATGTCTCTAATCAATCTAGCATCAATTTAAATTATTGATAAATTATCTTATATAATATGTGACAACGTTACACATATTCTAAATATAAATATCGTATACGTACTGATTAAAATGATCGAATTAATAGTAAATAGTTATAACGAATAATGGGATTAATATAACGAATAAAAATTGGATATGCGGATGATAGAATATGTTTTAAATTTTGACATATTTGTCATATTAAATCCACTTAAATTTGTTAATTTTGACATTGAATTCGTATTCAGTATTATGAAAAATCTTTGTATAGACATTTTTGCAACAATCCGGACATATTTTAAATACGACATCTGTCATATTGAATTCATTATTTTGAATTTATCAGTTTTAACACACTAGATCATCTCTCTGGAGTACCGGTCGTGGGGATTCGAGAGAATACATATATATATATATATATATATATGTACAAAAAGTTCTGAGCTTTAGATTTCATACAATCGAAATAACAATTTAAATTTTATATATCTTCCCGTTCTTTTGTGGTTTTAAAGCGTTGATATTTGACATTCTAAAATGCCATACGGTTTGGCGTTTGATGCACATAATTTAAAAAATCAGTAGTGTTCACGATGGCAATAACAAAAGAGCATATTCGATTTTCCATTCACTTCGCGTTTCATCTGAAGAAAAATGCTGCTGAAGCCACTGCAAAGATTTGTGCTGCATATGAGAACGCTGTAAGTCATACTACATGTAAAAGATGGTATCAAAAATTTCACCAAGGAGATTTCAGTCTTCAGAAAATGAACCGCGTGCTGGATGCCCTCAAAAGATTGAAACGGACGAATTGCAAGCACTGCTGGATATAACTCTGCGCAAACTGAAAAGGAGCTTGCAGAACAGCTTGGCGTTATGCAGCAAATCATTTCCGTACGTTTACATACATGCATTAGATGCATTAGAAGAAAAGAGGCCATTTACTGGCCAAGGACGTCGTAAAGTGATCTTGCTTCATGACAATGCTCGACCACATGTTGCGAAAGCGACTCAGGACCATATCTTTGCGTTAGGCTGGGAACTTCTCCCGCACGCGGCGTATAGCCCAGACATGGCGCCTTCCGATTACTCCCTATTTCGGTCGCTGCAGCATCATTTGACCGATACACATTTCGTGAGATTTGAAGAGATACGAAAATGCATTGATGACTTTATCGCTTCGAAGCCGATGAGCTTCTATCGTCAAGGAATTCGCAAGCTACGAAAGATGGCAAAAAGTCGTTGATGCAAACGGGGAATATTTCGCTGATTAATATTTTTTTGTTTGTTTTTGAATAAAGATTGAATTTTACAAAAAAAAGCTCAGAAACTTTTTTGTACACCTAATATATTGTAATATACGAGGGTAGTCTGAAAAATTTTGAGCCTAACATAGAAACAAGTATTTTTTCGGTCAAATATAGTTTTATTTTTAATATAATCTCCTTTTAAGTCGATACACTTTTCCCATCGATACTCTAACCTCTTTAACCCCTCCAAATAGTAGTTGGCGTCTTGCTCCGCAAAATAGGCGTTTACGTGCGATGACCTCCTCGTTCGATGAAAATCTCTGTCCTCCAAGCGAAACTTTAAGCTTAGGAAACAGGAAAAAGTCGCTGGGTGCCAGATCTGATGAATACGGTGGATGGTTAACCAATTCGAAGTGCAGTTCGTGAATTTTGGCCATGGCGACCGCCGAAGTGTGAGCAGGTGCGTTGTCTTGATGGAACAGCACTTTCTTCTTCTTCAAATGCGGCCGTTTTTTTGCAATTTCTGCCTTCAGCTTATCAAAAGTAATGATGCGTAATACGCTCCCATTATTGTTTTACCTTTTTCAAGATAGCCGATACGCACAATTCCGTGACTATCCCAAAAAACAGTCGCCTTACCTTTACTAGCTGATGGAACCGTCTTCACCTTTTTCGGAGCAGGTTCACCCTTTGCAGTCCACTGTTTTGACTATTCTTTTGTCTCTGGAGTGTAATGGTGGATCCAAGTTTCATCTACAGTTATGAATCGACGCAAAAAATCTGATTCGTTTCGCTTGAATCGCTCCAACAGGGCCTTGGAAATGTTCATTCGAATTCGTTTTTGGTCCAAAGTGAGCAAGCGCGGCACCCCGCGCGGATAGCTTGCGCATATCCAATTCTTCAGTCAATATATGACAAACGCGTTTTTTCGATATGCCCATAGCCTCTGCTATCTCTCTAACCTTGATTCGACGGTCATCCAGTACCATTTGGTGAACATTTTCGATGTTATCAGCGGTGATCGTAGTATTTGGCCGTCCCGAACGCTCATCATCAGCCAAGCTGATACGATCACATTTAAATTCAGCTGCCCATCTTTTTACGGTGGCAAATGATGGGGCAAAGTCCCCATAAACAGCGTCCAACTCGATTTTAATTTGCGCAGGTGTATTGCCTTTCAAATGTAAAAATTTAATCACGACACGATATTCAATTTTTTCCATTTTTACAAAAACACTGACAAACGACTGTCAAACAACAACTGAGCGTCCAAAATGGCTGAAATTTTCACAAAAGTCTTTCAAAGAATATACTGTTGTAGTACTAGAATTTGACGAGTAACGTCATCTTCATGTTAAGGCTCAAAACTTTTCAGACTACCCTCGTACACACATATATATATATATATATATATATATATATATATATATATATATATATCAATAAATAACGACATAACAACTGTTATATCATCAATTAAAAAGTAACGAAACGAAAGAACAGTAAGACATGAATCTTCAAAATCACCAATATGAATTCAATATTCGTCAAAATATTCAACATTTATACATTTCAAGATTTTTGCTCATTTAACCATAACGGTGCACTGATGCAGGATGAACGTATGTAACAACGATTCTGCTATCCGAGCGTGATTTTTATATGTTATTTCAATTGTAATTTACACTGAAGATGATCCTAAACAGAGGATCGAAACGTTTGTAATTCTCTTTTGTCTTTTCTATATTAATACATGATCTATACACGCGAAGACCCTGTGTTGACCCTTTTAATTGGCATTTTATTATACTATTTCCTGATTTACTTCATCAAAGCCACATAAATTACACTATTCAATTTATACATTTGTTACAGAGGAGGACAACATTTCGAGCAACTATGGAGTTGATCTGGCGGACGAATATATAAAAGTGAGTGATGACTACGTCAAATCTCCTTATGGCCTTCATTCTGTACCATTTTTGTAGCTTTAGCGCTACGCCAATAATCTCTATAATTTGAGAAACGATATTCGATAAGAAACAAATAACGATCCTATCGTTTATAAATCAGCTAATAAGAATGATAAAGCCTCAGTTTGAAAGATTTATATTGATGCGCGATACATTTATATTATATTCTTTGTCTCTGACAAACAAATTAAATTTATATGAGACTTAACTCCGAATGAACAATAGTTTTGCGAAATCGTATTCTAGTTGCTTTATAATGAAAGCAAAATGTCAAAAAAGGATGATATCAAAATACTTTGATAAAAACATAACTTATTCAGTATTCTCAAAAAAAGTACGAATACTTAGAAAGCAACAATTTATTTAGCGTAAAAAAGTATTTATTTGATATAAAATCTATATTTAAAGTTTCACACTTTCTTGACAATGCAATTTATTATTTTCAGAATATAAATATCGTAGATAGATACAGAACTGTCATGTTATTTGGCGTAAATTAAAAGTGAACAATCTGTATAAAATAATGAAATGCATCAACATATCGATAATTATATTGGCAATATTAATCCATCTTTTATTTATTAGCACATTTGATTCTGTTAAGCTAATTATACGATTTGAATATATATAACTTTTAGAAACTTGTGCATGTGCGTATACGTGTGTGTGATCAAGTGATGAGTGAGCATCATATACGATGTGTACGTGTGTATGTAGTGTGTGTGTGTGTGTGTGTGTGTGTGTGTGTGTGTGTGTGTGTGTGTGTGTGTGTGTGTGTGTGTGTGTGAGTGACGCGGGCGCGCGCACACATATACACACATACACATTACATATTTATTGTTATAGTCTTATAAAAAAATAATATAAATGACCATGAACGTGTGTGATAATATTCCTAAGACGCTCGCTTCAAGAGATACGTTCAATAACTCGATGATTAGCAGTCTTTTATTATGTATTAATAATGGTGATACCAAAATTTTCATCAAGATAAATTTGCACACAATCTTTCAACAAAGATTGAAATAGTGCGCTAGTAATAATTAAAAATTAATGGCTTTTAGAAAATTCATTTGAAATGTAAATAAATAGACTATAAATACAATCTTTTTAATTCTTCAATTAATTGTTTTTATCACTATACATATATACCTTAGAGACTTTATTATCAATATTAATATATATAATCATATTTAGCAATAAAAGATTAAAAATTGCAAAATGTTAATATCAATTAAATTTTTATTATAAAAACAAGTAGATTTTAATATTAACAACAAGTTCAATCTTAATTAATACTTTATAAATAGTAATACTTTATAAAATATATACATCAATGCGATAAATGTCGCGATACAATAAATAAAATAGTAATGTGTCTTTCATTAAAAAATATTTCATGAAATAAAAATAAGAAAATTATTAGTAGATTATGAGTTTAATTAATATCATAAGCTAGAGAATAATAGGTATATAATTGAAAACCTATTGTATTACTATAATTTAGTGCAATTTTATGACTGGTGTTAGATGAAAAATTCAATATCTCACGTTATGTTTCTATAATTATTATATTATAGTTCTCTCATTTTCTCTCTCTCTCTCTCTCTCTCTCTCTCTCTCTCTCTCTCTCTCTTTCTTCTCTCTCTCTCTCTTTCCCCCCCCCCTCTCTTCTCCTTTTCGTTCTCCATTTAAGGCATCATTAAAGTTATTTTGAAACTCTTATAATATTTTTTGACATTCAAACCAATTAATTAGTTGATATATTATGTAAAACTTTCGATCTCAACAGAGCTATAGTTGTGCTATGTTCAGCGTGATATCTGATTATATCGTGTTACGATGTCGTATAACACATAGAAGGCAATGTAATTCAAAAGATTAGCACATAGCGCAACAATGTTTCCCAAAAGTAGTACATTAGATAAACGATTTCATATAATCAATATTTATTACTAGATTAGATATGATAAAAAGTCATTAACACAGCGGATGGACGATCGAAAATGATTTTGTCATGATTTTGTAATGATTTCTTATTAATTTATTACCTCCAAAACATAAATTTGCGATACATCGTATTACTAATTTAAATCACAACTAATTTATGCACAATGTATACTATCATATCAGAGAGATGTATATCATTGCGAAAACTTAACTTTAACATTCTAATTTTACATTCAAATTGCAAATATAAAAATATTGTCTTTATTTAGAAAATATGAAATTGATTTCTCATTTCTAGTTTAATAAATTTAATTTACCTTTACCTTAATTTTGATTTATCAATACAATGTACACATTGCAGATTTTTTATTCAAGACTCTTTTATTTGGTTTTTTTAAAAAACTTTATATTATCTTCAGACATTATCGATCATCCAAATGCTTCCGTCCTAACGTTTATATATAAATAGAATTTAATAATTGTACTTAATTTATTTTAGTTTTATGGACAAATTAAATTTCTATAAAACAATTGTTTTATTCGCAAGTCTACAAAATAACATAAACATAAATCTATTGGGAATGAAAATATAAAAAAGTTTCCAATCACTTTCTAAATTAATGAAAACAACAAATTAAAAACTAGTAATACGATCAAAATGAAATTAAAATATTTAAGGTGATGCTGGAGAGACGAATGATGAAATCATGCATATGCACATATGCACATTTGTGCATTTAAATACACATATACAAATACACACACACACACACACACAAAACATACACACACTTATACATACATTTGTGTACATGCATATGAAGAAATTTTCGTGTACACTTTTTCACATTAGATAATTAAAAACTCAATATTATTTTTCATGATCTATCAATTTAGCGATATTAATTTTATAGGTATAAACTGCGAAATTTTAATATAAAATAAATATTGACATGACTTGACAGCTTTGGACATCATAAGTAGCAAATGGCAAAAACGTCTAAATTAAAAAAATTTTTCTCGTCCTTTCATGAGTTCCATATGAGATATGTATATTAGATATATATTAATGCATAAACTTTAATTGTGAAAAAGAAATTTCTAAATTTATAAAAATATTACATAAAAAAGTCGATACAAAAAATATTCTGTGGTAATACAGATGAGTTTAGCATTACCTTAAAAAAGGCAGGAAAATACGAAGATTTCAGCATAGTAATCAGATAAATTACTCGATTATTATTTGGCAGAGTTGATCATTCATTTTGAATTTCAATAAATTATTTAAAAATTATTTTTATTCCCAATACTGTAGTAATAATTATGTAGAGAGTGATATATGTATTGTGTGAAGTAACATGCGAAAATATGGATATTAATCAAGCAAGTCAAAATCGGTCATCATCGATTACCGTAACGTAGATAAATAATAAGAAGCCAAAAAAGATCTGTTCTAGCTTAAGATAATGCAATCGCGACTTTGCTCTTGATTAACAATATATGATACAAGAGCATGCGTGTCGCAACATAATTATGAGCACACATTAAAATACATAATGCAATTATAAAGCACGAACTCGGGATTCTGCGTGAATTTATAAAAAATATAATAAACAATAGAAACATTTCGATCAAATAACCTATTCTCTTTACTCGAGGAATGTCCATTGCACGTCTTCAGAATGTTCCTACGTCCTAAGGACAACTTTCGAATAAAGTATACTGAATGAGTTATCTTTAATAACTCAAAGTGTTTTATCTAGACAATAACAAATTAATTAATTGATAAAAACATAAATTTAAATATCTAACAAACGCGCACTCACACACACACACACACACACACACACACACACACACACACACACACACACACACACACGAC